AAAAAATAAGTATTGTATCTTGATTGTATCTTGACCTAATAAGTATTACATGTTTTTAAATTGATAGACCCCTCACTAAGAAGCATTCCACTGAACCTGCTCAACAATGTCTGTTTATTCAACAGGACAGTGTAGACATTTTCCAGCCACCTCCATGCAAAAAGTGGCGTGCATAAATCAAAATCAACAAGGAACACAAGATGGAACCAGACAGAGAAGATATTACAACAAATGTTATTAATGCAGCTCTCAAAATGTTATTTTAGTGGCACAAAGGAAACAGCTGACAAATAGAATATACAGTAGTAATGTAAATAGTTCATATGATGAATACTTTTTATATATTTGTTCATAATGTTCTATATTTATATCTCTATATATGGCTCATTTCTGGGATTCTGTAATATTTTAGTCCCCCAGAGTTCTTAAAGTTGTGGTTTACCAAAATGAATTGCTAGAGGCTTTTCACAATACTTTGGTATGCCCATTATAATGAATACAAATAATTATTGAATTTTAATCATTTTTAGCATAAAATAGTGTGTTATATCTATCTGAGGCACTTCACTGAGTTTGGACTGTGCACAGTTTCTATTATTTTTAGCAGTAGTTTTGGCATATTTGGAACACAAGTTCCTTTCTTGTGAAAAATACATTTCTAAAAAAAAAAAAAACAGAATTAAGATGGAAACTGATTATGTTTCAACATTTTATTTTAATCTATTAGTGTATACAATGTACTTATTTTATTGCTGCCATACATGAGGAGCAGTGGTCATTTTGAGTGAAAAACCTCAACCCCGTCACAAATATATGTATTTCTTATAAAAATACAACTTGTGACAGGGTTGAGTTATTTACTTAATTTATTAATAATTTCATAAAAAATATATAAAATAGTCATAGTTTCAGTAAATATGTACTTACCAAAACCATGTCAACAATATTTTTTTTATATATAAAAATAGAATTTTTGATGTAATATGCCCACTTACAGTAAACTTTGACAAGCATTATACATCAGAAATTGCACCCACATTTGCAGCAGAAAGACAATGTTGGCCGTGCAGATATGTTGACCCAGAGAGAAGGGGACAGTATGAGAGAGAAACAAAACCAAAAATTAAAACTGAAGGTAGTTTATCCCTTCAAATGTGTTATAGTCTTCAACCCTGTCACACCTTGTCACATTAATTTATTTGGAAAAAATATATAGGGAAGACAGTTAAGAATGAAAGCGTTTCTTGCTGATTACCATCTGACATGTTTAGGACTAAAACAATAAAATTGTGGTTTTAGTTAAACTTCTAAATTAAAATTATTTTTACAAAAATAAAGAGACCACAGACACACAATTTGTGTATTTTTAGCTTCAGTCCTATAAAAATGTGAATATCATGATAAATATTACATTTTGTTATCGTTACATGTGAGGGACACATGAGCAGATGTTGGTTTTATAACAAGTTCTGTGTAAAATCCTTTTTAAACAAATCCCATTTTGCTGAGAAAAAAAAGTTGAAAATAATAAAAAGGTCTTTAATGCCTGAGGTGGCAAAATAAGATTTGTTGGAGGTTTGATATGTGCCCAATGATGTGGGCTATTTAGAAAATGAATTACATGTAGTTGAAAAAAAAGGTATATTCCAAGTTGAAATGTTACCGAGTCCCAGGAATGACCCATATTGTATGATATGATATGATACAAGTTCTGTGTAAAATCCTTTTTAAACAAATCCCATTTTGAAATCCCATTTTGCTGAGAAAAAAAAGTTGAAAATAATAAAAAGGTCTTTAATGCCTGAGGTGGCAAAATAAGATTTTTTGGAGGTTTGATATGTGCCCAATGATGTGGGCTATTTAGAAAATGAATTACATGTAGTTGAAAAAAAAGGTATATTCCAAGTTGAAATGTTACCGAGTCCCAGGAATGACCCATATTGTATGATATGATATGATATGATATGATATGATATGATATGATATGATATGATAAACAAATGTCTAGACAAACAGACTGTGAGGCTGTCAGGTGAAATTCAGATCAATGAGTGTCGATCTTATCTTCAATGTCAAACAGATTTTGATAATGTCAGTTAATCTCCATCTTCATTTGTCAGTACAGTAACGCAGCACTAACAAAGTTGCTGTGTTACTCTAATTTGCATTTAATTGAGGGTTAATGCCACTGAACCTCTGGACAGAAGTCGTGTCTGCAGGCAAATTCTCACATGCAAAGGTCTTGTCTGGAGTGATTGTATTTAGATTGCATAATACATCAACCTGTGTGTCTTTTGTGCCACACCTGTGACAACTTCCACCAGTGTGGATTGTAAAGACCACTTGGTCATGGTAGCAATGATGAATACAGCTGAAACACTGCAGCATTCCCATTTCAGTTGAACTAAATTGTTTTTAAAAAATAATTTTTTTCTCATTCATGCACACCAGGCTTTTTATGTAGATCACTGTTTTTTCAGTAAGTGGATTTATAAAATGAAGTGGGCAAAAACTGCCCCCTACTCTATAGTTACAGGTAAAAACCTCTTTCCGTCGACCTCTAACCTTTGCTTCCATCTAGAATTAACAAATACATGAACTTTGTTTTAAATTCTATTGGCACTCTGTGGCGCCTCTGCACTGGAAGTGATATGAAAGCAACTGAATGTAACACAATGGCTTTCTACTCTAAAGATATTAAAAATAAGGTGGAAAAAATGTAATGATCACACTTTATTTTATTGTACTTTAATTTCCTTTGTTCGCAAGTAAAATGACTCCACCACATTGGGGATTTATTAAAATGTGTGTCAGTGGAATTTTAGCCTTTGAAGCATCCTTTGTGTGCTGTGAGGCAGAGAGAGAACTAATTCACTACTATAGCTCCTCTGTGTTTCCTGCTCAAACGCTTATGAAAAAAATGATGAACATGATAAGAATTATCATAAGAGTTATATTAGAGGAAAGTGGAACACTGTGGTGAGATTAATTCAGTTAGGCCTGTAGGATTAACTTGGATCCACAAGAGAAGTCTTCATTGCACTGTACTGAAAGTGTGTGTGTGTGTGTGTGTGTGTGTGTGTGTGTGTGTGTGTGTGTGTACAGGTATATATGGTTTATGAGGACACAAATGTGTATAATGACATGGGTACTACAACGTAAACATGGTTTATGAGGACACTTCCTGTGTCCCCGTAAAAAACAAAAGGCTTAAAAACATACAAAACGGTGTTTTATGAAATTCAAAAATTGCCAGCAGTTTCCTGTGAGGGGTAGGTTTAGGGGTAGGGTTGGTGTAGAGCAATAGAAAATACAGTTTGCACAGTATAAAAACCATTACGCCTATGGAGAGTCCCCGTAAACCACAAATACAAGTATGTGTGTGTGTGTGTGTGTGTGTGTCCTGTTGTGGCTGGCTGTAAGTCCCTACTCAGACTGTGCCCTAGATAAACTTAGTATCACAACACCACTGAATTATTCGCATCTCTTTCTGCATTGTGTCTAACCATCAGGGTGAATAAACCATTTGCCATGACAAGTTCAGCCCTGTCTACATGAGTAGATGAGATCAAACAACAACTGGGAACAGAGCTAGGCAGAGCAAATTAATCATATAATGAACCATCTTGTATTTTCTAAATGGCTCCCCATCTCATTAGGTTGCTTTGTTACAATGAATAAATACTCTAATGCTGCTCTCCTGTTCTGTAGTTGACTACAGTCTTATGCAAGATTTTTTTTTTAAAGTGATTATTGGTACATTGATATGATAATAAAAAGTTGATAAAATGATCAAAATGTTGATCCATTACTTTATAATACACCATGAATATAATCACTCTTGCTATGTTTGCAAATTGAAAAATGGGTCATGGGCCTTCTCACTCTATCCCTCTGCCCTTCATTTCCAACTTCTCTCTCTCTGTAATAGGAAATATTACATTTTTATTTAAAAAAATGGAAATAACGACCTGTCTGTTTTAAAAACTTGAAGTTGTGTCCTCATGTGTTAATCTGGTTCCCAACTTTGTTACTAAATTAATATAACATAAAACATAACATTAACATAAAATAAGCACACGTTTTCCCATATTTTAATATATATATACATTATATATTTAAAGCTTTGAGGTTGTGTCCTCATGTGTTAATCTGGTTCCCAACTTTGTTACTAAATTAACAAACTCTGTCATAATAACGTCATTCTTTCATCACTTCATCTGTTTAGTCATCCCGGTTGTCATGATTTTGTACTGTAAACAATTAATTATTGAAAAGTGGATATATGTAGATTTATAAAAACTCTCAACATGTTACTTTTCTGCTATTGCTAAATCAGAATTGAACAAAAATTAAATAATTTAACATAAATTGTTATACATAATATTATGGATTTGACTTTTAAATAACACAATGCAGTTTATTAAAACAAATAAAAATATTAATTCTTTGTCTGACAGAATGTTTAAATGCCTAATGTTAAATCTGAAAGAAAATCACCCAGTAAATTGTGGTTTGGGCACTCAGTTGCTCTACAGCAGGTGGCAGCACATGCCTAATGCAAACCTACCGAAAACATTGCTAATTATGAGGACAGGACGTAAAATCAAAACCACAGTTATTACAATTTCCCTCAAGCGCTTAACATATTACCATTACCAACTAATATACCATATTATCAAAGGCCATAAGTCAACATAAATGAAGTTTAGGAATGCAAAGCAATAATGCAAATAAAGGTGTAGCTAATGCCCTTGACAACCTCAGCTAAGTATCTGTTAAGTATTATTTAAGTGTTAGCTTTGAGCGTTTACAAGATAACTCATTAGCAAGCGGTTTGTCGTTTCTAGCAGTGGTTTGTGAATATTTCTTTCCGTTTATTCAGCGAAGCCCTGATTCCACCAATCAGATCGCAGCGCTCCAAACTTCCCACCAATCAGAGAAGCTCCTGTAACTTCCATGAGCAGCTCGCGCCTGTCGCTCTGTTTTGATGCGCTGTCTGTCTGTAGGTGGTGAAGCCTCGATGGGGACACTTTTGTTTTTATGCTAATATTTTCTTTTACAAACTGCGGCGCTTTTGTCAACGCTCAGGTTTATATTGGGGGGAATGATGACAACATGTATCTGTGGTTGAGGAAGCTGCCGTGTTCCTGAAGAGCCTCTTGAGATCGTCTAAGCCTCTGCTATGAGTTGTTTGGATGTTATGTATCATCAGAGTTATGGAGCTCATCACTACTTGCCCGCGACATCAGCAGCAGCGGCTTACAAAGCGGCATATTACCAGCACCAGCAGCAGCAGCAGCAGCAGCAGCACCAGCAGCAGCAGCAGCAACAGGTATGTCATATATTAGGGCTGAAGAGTTAGAAAAAGAAAGTTATGTATTTTTGCGCTCCTACAGCATCAGCTGTATACATGTTGCATACGTGGTCATTATTTGTTAATTCAATTAATATTTTCAATCAAATATTTAAATTGTCTACTTGTTATATATATATATATATATATATAGTCAAACCAAAAATTATTCAGACGCCAGATATAATTTGTGATATTTTTTTACTAGTGGGTGCAGGACACTTAGTTAATTTATGTAAGCGAGGATAGCAAAATAAAGTAAACTGTGACATATTATACCCAAAAATTCTTCATACAGTGGACTACCAGTAACACTGATACAAATTTGGGACCAAAAATTATTCAGACACTTTGACCTGACCATGTTTTGCTTAAGTGTTTTTTTTTTTTTCTTTTCTTTAATAGCTAATGCAAACTTTTTACACCCCAGACTGAACAAAATTAAGCATTGCTTGGCCATACCTTTATCAGTTATCTGACATTATCAAGATGACACAGTTCTGACACAGTTTAACTCTGAGTTCTTGTCATATTTTATTACCATTTTCTAAACTATAGCGAATAAACTGTGATAATGAGAGAAATGTTGAAGGTGTCTGAATAAATTTTGGTTTGACTGTATATAAACATATATTTAATGAAGTTGAAGTTGCAGTCAACAAGTGTTTAGACCCTGTTTAAAAACATCAAGATGCAGTTCATGAAGCATATTTTCGTTAACATTTTAGGGTTACACTTTATTTTAAGGTGTCCTTGTTACAGTGTAATTGTACATTTAAGTACTGAGCAATATTAATTAACTACATGTACTTACTATATGGCTAGGGTTTGTCCTAAGGTTACTTGCATGTAATTATGCATTATTTATTGTTATTTTTATAATAGTGCATGTAACAAGGACACCTTAAAATAAAGTGTTACCCATTTTAGTTATTCCTATACTTCCATTTGTAGATTTGATGATTTTATTGTTACTCTAAAAAGTGTAAAATAATAATAATGATATGAGAAGGTGTCTCCAGACTGATTTATTATCTAAATACTACTGTTATCAAATAAAACCGCATGACATTCGATATAGAATTCCTCAAATTCCATGCAGTGAATTACAGCTGAATGTGTTTATACAGTCTCTCGTACGGAAATCTTCATGGGCGTAAATCAGCATGCCACTAATGTGCCAAGTGTGGGCACAGGGCCATCGATTCAGACAATCTATTTTGGTCGAAGACCAGGTGGTGAATGTGTGCTCCGTCTATTAACCCCTGACCAGTTATTCTTCACATTTAACACTATCTGTGTCTTTCAGCAGAAGAAGTTCAGTGACTACAGCAGGATGCAGGATTCTGGGGAGTTTCCCTCTCACTGTGGCCAGAGTAAGCAGTCTGGAGCGCTGAAGCCCCGTCCTGAGCCTGAGCTTCCACGAGAGGAGGAGCAGAGCGCTGACGAAGAAGAGCGCTGCAAGGAGACGCAGCCCGCCGAGGCTGAGTACTTGAGTGCCAGGTGTGTGGTGTTCACCTATTTCCGTGGAGACATCGGGGATGTGGTGGACGAGCATTTCTCACGTGCGTTGAGCCAGCCCAGCACCTTCAGCAATGATGCCAAGACCAGGAGACTTCACTCTGGAGGACCATGGAAAGGTAGAAGACAGTGTTTTATGGGAATCTACAATATTTATAATCCTAAAATGCAATAATAGTGCTTATAGATAAATGTAGTTATTAATTGGATTGAAACGGAATCATTTTATACAGTTGATTATCAAGCATTGTTACGTTCCAAATCTGTGGGTCAAATTGACAATTTAATGAATCCAGTCACTCTATTGACATTAATAGTTCTCACACATTGCAAAAAAAAAAAGACGGACATATTTATATTTATAAATTTAAAAGTGTATTTAACATTTTTGTGCATTTTATAAACAGTGTTGTAACTATTTTTTAAACATTTTAAGTAGAAAAACTGTGGAAAAGTACTTCTTCTGTGTGCTTTCCTGAAGCTCAAACAGTAAGATCATCCCAAAGCCAAAATGATGGGTCCGATTCACATCAAAACTGGGCACCAAAACATCAACGCAGTGTAAATTTCTTTTGGACGAAAGCATCTTCCGAATGCGTAAATGTAAATACCCTTAGAGGGTAGTTGGGAAACTAACATAACAAAATACATACATTTTTCTGCATTTAACCATGAAATTTGCAGGTCAAACTGATCCAAAAACAAACATCATAATCATAATAGAAATTTTGTATGCACATTCCACAACACATCAGGTTGTCGAAACTTTGCATGCATGCTGATGAATCTAAAAGAGAAAAAGTGACAAAATAGCAAGAAAAATTAGTAATCTTTAAAAATAAAAAGAGTATTTTCGACAACTCAAAAATAGACATTATAGTTCCAGTCCTGGCTTCTGATTGGTCAATATAGCTTCGCTGCTTAGCTAAACACATTCTGTGTTTGTGAACTATTTTTTTTTTGTCAACATCAAGATTTTATATTAAAATGTATATAAAACTAAGTGTATATTTTTACATTTTTAATCACTTTTTCTTGGTATGACAGGGGTGAACGTGATTTCACCGAGTGCAACATGATCCTGGAACAACATTCCAAACAACCAATCAGAATTGAGGGGTAAATTTACAGGAAATGTCTGTTTTAGGCTTACAACAACAGTTAGGTGCTTCTACACCCTTGTTATTCAACCATAATTTCCCTCTGATTTTAGGGATAAATTATGGGTAGGGTTAGGTTTAGGGGTAGGGATAGGGTTAGGTCTATATTTTTGGACAATAATGTTGATCCAGGATCATCAAAAGATGTTGAAATCACGGTGACCGTATGGCAGGATACTACAAAACCATTTAAATCAGATATTATGGCACTGAGGAACTAACTGTTTGTTGTGTTTCAGAAGGAAACTCCCACTCCGAGGGTCAACATTTACCGTCGTCCCTGTGGGGTAGCGGCTACCCATCTCAGACCTCCTCTCACCCTGCCTTCCACCCTGCAGACACTGGTCTCTGGAGCAGCCACAGCCTCACGCAGACTGGCCTGCCCCCTCCCTCTGCTCTCCCTGACTCTTGGCACTACGGCCTGGGAGCGCAGGGTGGAGCGGGATACCCTCACGTACACGAGATGTACCCTCACATGCACCTCCGTCACCCACACCCGCACTCCCATGCCCACGCCCACCACGTGCTCCATCACGCCCACAACCCCGCTCTGGACCCGCGCTTCAGCCCGCTTCTGCTGCCCGGTGTGAGAGCGTCTTGCAGCCCGACGTCCTGCGCAGACGGAATCAAAACTGAGCTGGAACCGAGTAGCATCCCAGCACCAAGCTGGCCCGCTTCTTTCCATGGGTCAGTGGACATCTATCATGATACAGGTGAGACAAGATGAGGGAATCTGTACACTTCTGCAGCATGGGTGTATATGCAGTGTTATGGATTGTGTAAATTATCATAGCATAGTAATTTGTGTTGGAAATAACCATGTGATTATTGGACTTTACAGTCATCGCATTCACTACCTTTCAAAGGTTTTGGGTCAGTAAGACTAATATAAGTATTATGCTCAGCAAGGCTGCATTTATTTGATTAAAAATACGGTAAAAATTGTGAAATATTATTAAAATTTTAAACAGCTGTTTTCTATTTAAATATATTTTAAAATGTAATTTATTCCTGTGATGCAAAACAGAATTTTCAGCACCATTACTCCAGTCTTCAGTCTCACATGATCCTTCAGAAATCATTATAAATAATATGCCGATTTGATCAAGAGAAAATTCTTATTAATACCAATGTTGAAAACAGTTGTGCTGCTTAATATTTTTGTGGAAACCATGATACATTTTTCAGGATTATTTCATGAATATAAAGTTAAAATAAACAAGATTTATTTGAAATAGAAATCTTTTGTAACATTATAAATGTCTTTACTGTCAATTTTGAACAATTTAATGCAATTTCGATTAATTTAATGCATTAATGCATAGTTTAATGAATAAAAGTATTAATTTCTGACCCCAAACTTTTGAACAGTAGTGCATATAACAAATGATTAAGTCTAGCGTCAGTGCAAAAACAGCTTCACATTATGAGTTAAAGACACAAAACACTAAATTGAAAGGATAGTTGCGACTCATATTGCCCTTTAATATCTAGTTCTTCCTTAGTTTGAAAAATCTCAAACTTTTCACATTGTTCTATAATTTGCTTTTACATCTAAATAATGTAAAGCCAGATTTATATATTTGGATGCATAAAATATCACTACCATATCAGTTACAAGCTAATATATTTGGGGCAGTATTGGATATGTTAGTCGATGTTGGATACTTGTGCGTATTGAATAATTGTGCATCATTATTTTCTCTATTTTTACATTTAGATTCCTTTTGCTGACACATAAGAAAATTTTTTTTTACCCTATTTTATTAAACATTTTTAAATAGAATTTAACAACACTTTAATGTAATCTTCAGAATTTAAATTTCCCTCTGATTTTAGGGATAAATTATGGGTAGGGTTAGGTTTAGGGGTAGGGATAGGGTTAGGTCTATATTTTTGGACAATAATGTTGATCCAGGATCATCAAAAGATGTTGAAATCACGGTGACCGTATGGCAGGATACTACAAAACCATTTAAATCAGATATTATGGCACTGAGGAACTAACTGTTTGTTGTGTTTCAGAAGGAAACTCCCACTCCGAGGGTCAACATTTACCGTCGTCCCTGTGGGGTAGCGGCTACCCATCTCAGACCTCCTCTCACCCTGCCTTCCACCCTGCAGACACTGGTCTCTGGAGCAGCCACAGCCTCACGCAGACTGGCCTGCCCCCTCCCTCTGCTCTCCCTGACTCTTGGCACTACGGCCTGGGAGCGCAGGGTGGAGCGGGATACCCTCACGTACACGAGATGTACCCTCACATGCACCTCCGTCACCCACACCCGCACTCCCATGCCCACGCCCACCACGTGCTCCATCACGCCCACAACCCCGCTCTGGACCCGCGCTTCAGCCCGCTTCTGCTGCCCGGTGTGAGAGCGTCTTGCAGCCCGACGTCCTGCGCAGACGGAATCAAAACTGAGCTGGAACCGAGTAGCATCCCAGCACCAAGCTGGCCCGCTTCTTTCCATGGGTCAGTGGACATCTATCATGATACAGGTGAGACAAGATGAGGGAATCTGTACACTTCTGCAGCATGGGTGTATATGCAGTGTTATGGATTGTGTAAATTATCATAGCATAGTAATTTGTGTTGGAAATAACCATGTGATTATTGGACTTTACAGTCATCGCATTCACTACCTTTCAAAGGTTTTGGGTCAGTAAGACTAATATAAGTATTATGCTCAGCAAGGCTGCATTTATTTGATTAAAAATACGGTAAAAATTGTGAAATATTATTAAAATTTTAAACAGCTGTTTTCTATTTAAATATATTTTAAAATGTAATTTATTCCTGTGATGCAAAACAGGATTTTCAGCACCATTACTCCAGTCTTCAGTCTCACATGATCCTTCAGAAATCATTATAAATAATATGCCGATTTGATCAAGAGAAAATTCTTATTAATACCAATGTTGAAAACAGTTGTGCTGCTTAATATTTTTGTGGAAACCATGATACATTTTTCAGGATTATTTCATGAATATAAAGTTAAAATAAACAAGATTTATTTGAAATAGAAATCTTTTGTAACATTATAAATGTCTTTACTGTCAATTTTGAACAATTTAATGCAATTTCGATTAATTTAATGCATTAATGCATAGTTTAATGAATAAAAGTATTAATTTCTGACCCCAAACTTTTGAACAGTAGTGCATATAACAAATGATTAAGTCTAGCGTCAGTGCAAAAACAGCTTCACATTATGAGTTAAAGACACAAAACACTAAATTGAAAGGATAGTTGCGACTCATATTGCCCTTTAATATCTAGTTCTTCCTTAGTTTGAAAAATCTCAAACTTTTCACATTGTTCTATAATTTGCTTTTACATCTAAATAATGTAAAGCCAGATTTATATATTTGGATGCATAAAATATCACTACCATATCAGTTACAAGCTAATATATTTGGGGCAGTATTGGATATGTTAGTCGATGTTGGATACTTGTGCGTATTGAATAATTGTGCATCATTATTTTCTCTATTTTTACATTTAGATTCCTTTTGCTGACACATAAGAAAATTTTTTTTTACCCTATTTTATTAAACATTTTTAAATAGAATTTAACAACACTTTAATGTAATCTTCAGAATTTAATGAACATCATTTTTTTTTAATTATGTACATGTTGTGATGCCTAAATTCATTTTATATATATATATACTGTATATATGCTGTATAAATGACATATGATACATTTCTGTTTTCCTACATGATAAACTATCATACCACACAACCCAGATGTTACGTTGCTGAGTAAAGCAAACATGTTTTAACGATTTATTTGCTTACCCACAGCGCTTGAGCAAGACAAAGCGAAGGCCAGTGTTTGGTTCTGATTCAGAGAAGATTCACTGGACTCCATGCCTGAGACGGGACCACTTCTGCAGCTGAGGCCCACAGCACTGCGTGTGGATTCCTTCCTCACAGGACTTTCATGGGACCTATTCAGGGGAACATCAGTCTCTATCAGTGAGACAAGCACAAAAACTGCTTTGGGGAAAACTAGTGTTTTTGTATAAATATCATCCTGTCTGAGCTTGTGCCCGCTCATGGACAGAGATCCAGTTCAGGACGCTTTTGTAAAGAGCTGTGGACCCCAAATGAAGTTTAAGAGGTATATCTCCCTCTTTCTTTACACAAAGGAGGTTTTCTCGAGACGGTTGATGCTTTAGAACTGCGTTTATGTACTTACCACAGGTTCTGTTGAAAGAACTGGTTGTATTAGTACAGCAGGCAGAAATGTGTGAGAAAATCTTGATTTACTTTAATATATTTGTCTTGTGACTTTACTGATTGGTGTTTTCTGTTCGTGTCAATAGATTATTTTTGATGTCAAATGGTCTGCCTTCGAGGAATAAGTCATTCGTTTTACTGCTATACATGAACTGCTAAGTTTTATTGGCAAACAATCTGTTTTGTTTGGATGGATTTATTAAATCATTACAGTGGTTACTGTCTCTTTAAATGTTGCCAGTTGTAGTGCTTCATAATTTCAGATTTATTTTAAATTGGTTTACTTTCCCTCGTCAACAAGGCATTTGAGAGGTCAGTGGCACCAAAACACACCGCTTATGCTGCTCTTGACCAATTTTGGGAAGGAAATAAGGAGAGCGCAAAGTCCCAGAAGGGATAGCGTCATTCCATTCACATTTAACTTCATCTCTCGCAAAGCTGCACAATCTGGGACATGTCATAAATGGAGTTATATTGCAAAAATGTTTATGTGAATGCTCTTAAGTGTCAAAAGTCGGTATGCACTTCCTGTCTGGCGATCCAAGACGACTTGAACAATTGCAGTTAAAACAGACTCCTCTCATCCACTGCAGATACGTCCTAATAGAGGTCCAGATAAACCGAAAGAATGTGGCGATCGGCCGTGTATCTTCCACCCAAATCCACACGAAGAATGCAAAGAGCGTAGAATATGCAGTCTGGTGCGAAGTCGAACATTATTTTGGAGAGCTGCAGCTTTAAATCTTTTTATACAAGCGCAGTGCCAGATATTGCATTATATTCGTCGTAAAAGACAGCTGTTGGGCTGGTTGTCCTGTGGCAGTGTGAATGCAGGGTTCGAGAGTGAGATCTCTGACCCTCACATTCCTCACATCAGCAGCTGCTCCATACTGAGGCACAATTAGACACTACTCCATGATAGATTTCTCAAACTCAAAGATTGAATGTACACTTGTGGTGTGTGTTTTTCAAAAAACTGTATTTGCAGATACTATAATATTAATAAATGAAAAGGCCACTGAAGTACACGTTTAAAAAGTACACTGTGTAATAATATCAAATTAGAAGTTCTGTCAGGACCACTATCGTCAAAATGATAGATACTTAGCATAAAGTTTGGTTTGGCGGTATGGTTCTGTTCTGGGCAAAAAACTCCCTGCCAATCCATGCAGCCTGTCATGAATGAGCAGGGAGAGCAGCAATAATAACCCCCCTAGGGTTAACAGAACAGAACAAGGCAGATATCATTAATGTACTTGATATTTAAGTGTAACGTAGTTTCGCTTTTACAACGAAACAGCGTCACACACGGTGGGCTTGAGTGAGCGGAGGCCGGGGGATAAAGTGAGGAATGGCGGAAGGGTGAGAGTGAGCAGAGGCGCGGGCTTGAGAACGGCGCGGCCGGCGATTTCGACGAATGAGCGTCCGGAAGGACATGTGACGACCCCGGGGTGGACTCCGCTTCGTCCACGGTGAAAGCCGATCCGGCGATCCACAGCGCAAAGTTGTAGTATTTCCTCAGCGACCAGCACGGATCAGCTCCAGGCATGACGAAGCAGATATCGTCCTCTTTTGGAAGACCAAACAAAGTAGTTTCACTTTCACAACGAAGCACACAACGTCTTTACGACATGACGGCGGTGGCGGCAACAATACTACAGTGAGAACAAAAGTTACGCCTTTTGTCTTTGCGTGAACATTTGGGCGGTGTTATGCAAATCTTCCCACATATCTTTAAATATGTGACACAAAAGTTTTGATAATATTTTAGTTTACATAAATGCTTGTCAGTGCATTCAACAGTACCATATTTATAATGATCATAATTCTAAACAAATCAAGTCTATTTATTTCATAATTTCACATTTAATTTAGTGTGTTACTCGCTGTTTCTAATGAATTGGAAAATGTACTTGCAATTTCTGAGTGAAAATTGCTTCATTTTTCATAAGTATGTCAAAAAAGCACTAGATTTCAACAGCATTTAATATAAAGTATAATAAAATAATATTAATAAAAAATAATATTAACGTAATTAAGTGCCTTAAAACATTACATCCAGTTATATAATTTTCAGTTATTATTATTATTATGGTTTTAAAGTTTTGTTTATGACAGTAAGGGGAAAATAACAGAAAAAAAACCACTGAACTGCCTCAGTAAATTATTAGTAATTTATTGAAAATACTGAAGATTAAGAAAAAATTTTAATAAAAAGCTTTATAAACCAGTTTTTTTTTTTTTTTTTTAGAAAAACAAATGTACAGGATAAAATAAAGGGGAGTTATAAAATATATCATCATTAGATTTCCTTCAAATGAGAGGTCCTAAGTGCTCTTTAAAAGTAAATGCTAAAGTGTAAAGTTTTTTTTTTTACAAGAGTCTAATCCACATATACGTTTCGGGATTTTGTAACAGAACAAACATTTTTTAAATGAAAATGATGAAAACCAGTGATTTTGTCCTTCACAGCAAGAGTCTTCTGCACTCCTGCACTCATTGTTATACCTTGATTCATTCATATTCCTCAATGTTCTTGCCCATGTTGACCATTCAAATAAAATGGTGGGTCTTGAATGATGGCTGTTATCTTGCTCTAGTGGATGAATAAGCCTGTTCATATCAGACGGTACACCATCGCTCTGCTTTGCTAATTGCTGTACTTGATTATATAAGTTTTGCGATGGCCCTGTGATCACAGGCAGAAGAGCTCCTCAAGCAGCAGATAAATGAGGGATGAAGAGGCCTGGCAGCTGCATTCAGCCGCTCTCCACAAGAGTGACATAAACAGCAGTAAACCGCTCTTATGAACAGGAAGCTGGCAGAGACAGGTCAGTGTGTGGCACTGCACGATACGAGAGTGTTCACTGCTAAACTAAACCAGAAAGACCATTCATGTGACAGATGTTCAAAGACAACAGGGTGACACTTACAATAAACCAGTGGTGTTTATGATGCCAAAGTCTATTTATCTTAGCAGTTTCATCTTAATTTATTAAGATACACACATACTGGCATACACACATACACACATACTGGCAAAAAATGTATAGCCTGAATGCACTGTAAGTTGCTTTGGATAAAAGAGTCTGCTAAATGCATAAATTATTATTATTTATAGTTTTTAATATATCAGGACCTTTTAAATGTCAGGACTTAACAAAACAGATTCACCCCCCCCCGTTGTTTGTTGTTCATAGTGATTTTTTACTTTGAAACAATTTCCTGTCTGAAATTGCTTGTAAATTTCATAAATAATTACAAATAAATGGCAATTAATGCACTGAATTAAACATCAAATTTTAAAGTAGAAATACGGAAATAGTATTTTCTTGTAAAACGTACTGCAATAATCTTAGTTTTTTTTACAGTGCAGTCTTTTGCTTATCTGTTTTCACTGTCCCCACAATTAAAAATATGAATAAATAAAATATACAAATAACAAAACATTTTACATGTGTCATATGAAATGTATTTATTTACTCATTTGAATGAATGCATGAATGATTTCAATTTTTGCCGTTTCATTTGCAAGGCATAAAAACAAACACATAAGCAGCAAAGGTAAAATATAGAGAACACAATTTCACAGTTCTGGCAAGTTATCTGCTCATTATTTTTGTTGAACCATTTCATATATGTGACCTTGGATCACAAAACCAGTCATAAGGGTAAATTTTTTTGAATTTTAGATTTATACATCATCTGAAAGCTGAATAAATAAGCTTTCCATTGATGTATGGTTTGTTAGGATAGAACAATATTTGGCCGATTTGAAAATCTGGAATCTGAGGGTGCAAAAAAATCAAAATATTGAGGAAAATCGCCTTTAAAGTTGTCCAAATTAAGTTCTTAGCAATGCATATTACTAATCAAAAATGAAGTTTTGATATATTTACAGTAGGAAATTTACTAAATATCTTCATGGAACATGATATTTACTTAATATCCCAATGATTTTTGGCATAAAAGAAAAATGTATAATTTTGACCCACACAATGTATTGTTGGCTATTGCTACAAATATACCCGTGCTACTTATGACTGGTTTTGTGCTCCAGGGTCACATATTTTGACCTCTCTATTTAGTTGGTTACAGTTTACTTTTCGAATATACTAATCATTTTTAGGGTTGACGGTCATAGTTAAAAGATACATATAAACAAATAATTTACATGAAATTGGAAATGAAATCGTTGAAAGTTCTGGCAACCACAGCTGCCGGTATTTTACCGTAAATGTTTTTTTTTACAGTGTACTTGTAAGTTGTATGTCAAAGTGCTGGAGTAAGTCTATGAATTAATTCTTTTCATTACAGTTCAGAATCTGCCAATCAGCTCAAATATTTCCTTTAAAGTCGGTGAAATGAAATGAATGGCTTGACTGTGTGTCAAACAAAAGCCCTGTGCGCAAAGGCTGGAGGGTCACGCCAATTCACCCCAGGAGTCTGAAAAAGGCCAGATAAAGCTCTCGAGTCACATTTCATTTTGATTCTTTTGCCGCATTAATTGATAAAACTGTCACTCAGACACAGCTATACTTTCCTAAAGCTACATTTTCAGTTGTGTTCATTATCATTCTGCCCATTTAAAACTAAGAACAAGTTCACTGAATGACTGCGTATGATCCTGCTTTATTTGTGGACTGAACAAATTACAGTTATAGAGTTATTATGTTTAAATATTTCTATGTATTTGCAAATCATTCATTTCAATTTGTGAGACAGAGTTGACTATTCATGATTGTGACAGTAAGTACTAACTATAAAAAATATAATACATTTTGTCTTAATAATGAAATTTGACATTTTAATGTCAAAATAGGGAATGTGCATTCTAGTGACCAACTGTGATTCATTTCAAAGTAATATTGCTGTTTTTAAAACTATTGCCATATAAATGGAAAATCAGCACTACATCT